TTAGGGTCAGGGTTAGGGTTAGGCAAGTAGTGGTTCTGGTTAAGGTTAGGGTTAGTCTACAGGAAATGCATGTAAGTCAATGTAAAGTCCCCATGGACTAGGAAACATAAACTGTATGTATGTGTGTGTGTGTGTGTGTATTGCATAATCACCTGGCCTTGTATTTTCAGGTATCTGTGGGTTATCAGAAGAGACCACTACAGGTGTGCACAACCTGTACAAGATGATGAAAAAGGGTGAACTGAAGATCCCTGCAATCAACGTCAATGACTCTGTCACAAAGGTAATCGGCGTCCTGTCAAGTGGCAACGCACCTCCCTCCATGTTTCTCAGGAAGAAGTTCGACATGATGCTGTATAACATGGACGTCATGTGTTTGCCTCTTCCCTCCTGCAGAGCAAGTTTGACAACCTGTATGGATGCAGGGAGAGTCTGATCGATGGTATCAAACGTGCCACTGACGTGATGATCGCCGGTAAAGTTGCTGTGGTGGCGGGCTACGGTGATGTGGGTAAGGGCTGCGTCCAGGCTTTGCGTGGATTTGGAGCTCGTGTCATCGTCACCGAAATCGATCCCATCAACGCCCTGCAGGCTGCCATGGAGGGTAGGCAATGACGCCACACAGCAGTGTATTGAGACAAAGTTGTTTTTGTTGGCAGCTGGTCTTTAATGTCGTGGAACACTTTAAGATTCTCTTCAGGCCTGAGACTGAGCCTCAGAGCCAAGAATAGAGTGCTCATGGATAAATCTGTGAACTTGTTGGTTAATGATGGGGATTTAAAGTTTAATTTGCATAAGGAGCAAATTAAAGGACATAAGTCAAATGTACCTAATACATTTTGTTGTGAACTCCACCCAGTATTTGATCGTATAAGCTTTTACTGTAAACGTGATCTGGTTTTTCCAAGATGTTGTACTGTCAGTGCACAGTTTACTCCCCCATCTTTGTCTTGCTCCATAGGTTACGAGGTTACCACCATGGATGAAGCTTCTAAGGAAGGAAACATCTTCATCACCACCACTGGCTGTGAGGACATCATCCTGGGACAGTAAGAACAAATGAACACGGGGTCTGATGTTTCTACTAGAACTGAACTAAAATGCAGTTTTCATAGTCGAAGTTCCACACAGTAAAATGAAATGCGACTTAAGTCCAGGTTAAGTTGGTCTTTGTTTTTCGTCAAAGAGAAGAAAACTGGTGTTTGTGTGTGTGTGTGTGTGTGTGTGTGTGTGTTTTCACCTTCAGCCACTTTGAGAACATGAAAGATGATGCCATTGTTTGTAACATCGGACACTTTGACTGTGAGATCGACATAAAGTGGCTCAACCAAAACGCTGCTGAGAAGGTCAACATCAAGCCTCAGGTGGGTCAAACCAGAACAGAATCACTAAACAAAAGCTGCCTGACACTTTTAAGAGTTTGTCCTTTGTTTCCTCTGTTCTTGCCTGGTCTGAGCTTCAGCCTGGCTGAAGTAGTTGGACTTCAGCTGCACTGTTTTCATATTTCCAGTGTGTTTGTCATACACAATGACAGATCTTCTGTTTACTGTGCCTTAGAACATGACTGGTCATGTACCAGAACGTACTGCATCCCGACTGATCTCTGGATTAAAACTGAGTAATTCTTACTGAACCTGCAGCTCCCAGTGAGCAGTCTGATTTGTCTGAAACTCGCCTTACAGCAGCAGCAATAATCCTCCTCCTCCTCAGGTGGATCGCTATCGTTTGAACAACGGGCGTCACATCATCCTTCTGGCTGAGGGCAGACTGGTCAACTTGGGCTGTGCCATGGGACACCCATCCTTTGTCATGAGCAACTCCTTCACCAATCAGGTACTGTCAGTGTGTGGTCTGTGCAGTACGTGCTGTAAAATAAGTACTTTTAGTTTTTTAAACATGTTGCTGTCTGTGCTGTTCATCTTTTTTGGAATCAGTCTTAAAGATTTACATTTACAAACCAGACGTACTATATGTATTAACACTGTAGCTGCATCCAGTCTGCTTCATTAAGATCATTCTATATGGGTGTCATAACCCTTCTTTTCCTGTAGGTTCTGGCTCAGATCGAGCTGTGGACGAACACGAACACGGACAAATACCCAGTGGGAGTCTACTTCTTGCCCAAGAAGGTCAGAGGTCACACTGAGAATAGAGTACTTGACTCAGTACATGAAGCATGTAGATGTTGAATTAAATTTGGTGTTCTTGATGTGAACTGGGAGAAATTTTTGAGTGCAAGGTTGGTTGCTTGTCCAAAGTGTCAGTTTGTGCATGAGGTCAGACTCACTTTGTAGCGTTTTGACCATTAACAGAAGGATCTCAAAACTTGACTCAGGACTGGTAGAGTTCTCAACTGCAAGGCTCATTGTCCACTACTACCACCACCTTTGGCTGTTCCTGGTGGGGGTTGCCACAGCAAACCAACTGTTTGCATGTATACATGTGGCATACATTTTACACTGGATACCCTTCCTGATGCAGTCCACTTCAATTTACATGGGTGGTAAATTCATTACAGGTTCTGGTTGTCATCACAGACCTTCAACAACTGTAAAAACGAAAGGTGGTGCTGAAATTTTAACAAAAAGCTGCAGTGCTTTAGATCGGTGTACGGAATATTTTCAGTTGTAGGTGGTGCGAGCGGTGTAAAGACATCACCTCATGCTCTGGGGTTTTGTGATGGGTCATCTTTAGAATTTTTGATGAACAAAGTTATCCACAATGACAGCAATCACTATTTGCAGCCTCGCTCTGGAGTCAGATGTCATTAGTGACTGAGACGACTCGCGTCAGGAAATATGCATTAAAAATGTGTAAAAGAAAAAAGGAATGAATATAAAGATGAGCACCATGTAATGGAGATTTTGTTTTTCTTAGTTGGATGAGCAGGTGGCTGCTGCCCACCTGGATAAACTGGGGGTGAAGCTGACCAGGCTGACAGACAAACAGGCCAAATACCTCGGTCTATCCCCGGAGGGGCCCTTCAAACCGGACCACTATCGCTATTGAGCCCCCAGCCTAACCTTCACCCAGCTGTGGACGAGGAGGAGGAGGGGGAGCAGAAGACAGAGGAGCAGGAGGTGTGGCTAGAAGGGTGCTGGGATATGGTTGGTGGGAGCACTTGGAGTTTGGCCAGGTTGCACTGTGGGTGCCAAGTTGGCTTTGGCCACACCTGAACTTTTCACTGACACAAATACTGTTCTGGGTTTTCCTTTCCATTTCAAATCAGTGCTAAATGTGTTTTACTTGTTTCATCCTGAAAGTGGCATCAACCTCCAGGCTTCAGTCAGTAGCTTTACATGGTTGTAAATGTCAGGATGTGATAGTTCTCAAGTTTTCTTCTCTGCTCAGACATGCATGTCCAAAGAACATCCAGCTGTGTATTTAATCTGCAAACGTATTAGCTTGTCTTTTCACTTTGGTGTTCCAGAGGAAAAAAAGTCTATTCTGATGCCTTCCGTCTGTCCTCGTTCTCATCAGTATCTTCTCAGACACAGTCAAGTGCTGCTGTTATGCAATAAGAATAAACTTCTGCCATTCATGCTCCATTTCTGGAATTCAATTACCCTTGATGCTTTTCTATCTGAGCTCTTCTCTTGGTCTTGTAGCGGCTCAGAGTAAAGGTTCTACAGTATCATGATGAATTGAGGCAAACAGTTTTGTGTACTGTGGCCTTATTCCAGTGGATTCACATTAACGCTGTCATTTTGTTAGCACTTAATAAAACTTGAACTGTGAGAAGTCCAGAGGCACACAAAGTGCTCGGTGTAATGGGTGTTTACTACTTATCCAGGTTGATCAGTACAGAGTAAAGGGAAGCACCGCTGCCAAAGGAACCACCAAAGCACCTCGTGTTATTGCCTGTTTTTGAGTCTTATTTGTTCTGCTGCCTCATTTTCTTCCATTATTGTGATTCCTAAATTTGACTTGAAGGGCCAAAATGTGCAATGACCCCCTCCCTCGATTCTTATTTTCACTGTAGCCAATCTGGATCTTCTGATGCTGGGTGTAAATGGTTCTGGGTTACAGCATGGACGTTGTGATTCTCAGCTGTTATGGTCTGTAAACAATGTTCAAACTGAAGTGTGGCGAAGGGACAATAAAAAGTGTTGAATCTGGATTGTTTCTCATGTGATAAGACATTTATGACATCTGACAAGTAAAAATGAAAACTGTTTTGCTCACAGATTAATACAGAAATGTGTGAATGTAGTGACATCTCTGAAAAGTCTCGACAGCACTGAGACGATCAAACGTTGAGATCTGAAAATAAAGGTGACAGCACTGAGACGATCAAACGTTGAGGTCTGAAAATGAAGAATGGTAAAACGAGCTTAGTTGTAATGTCACAGTTTGCAAACCAACTTCATGGCTTTAAGCTCCTGTATGTGGTGCGTTCACGTGGGTCATGTGTTAGGATCACTTACCTTCCAGACATGCTCCTTTTCAGTTTAACTTTGAACATAATATGGTTTAGGTCATCTGGATTTACTCTTGGCTTGTTTCTTGACCCATGTGAGGCTTAAGAGGCAGAGCAGGTCCTCTCCAGACCAGAAGGTAGGCAGATGGATTCCCAGTTTCTCCAGTCCTCTAGGCTCAAGTGTCTTGACGTTGAACCCCAAGATGCTCCTGGTGGCTGTCCAACAGCATGTGTGAAGGTGCTTTGAGTGTGATTGACTGACTAGAACTTGACTGTAACACTACACCAAGTCCATGTACCATTAAGCTTGTTACAGTTACCTCAGTGAGTGCAGTGCTTTCACACCTAATAACGACCAAAACTATTTAAAGACAACATAATTTCTGATTAAACAGTTCCTCATTAAAAGAGCAGAGATACTCTGCTGGGTGAGCAGTGGGGTTCCAGGGTCTAAATCCATTATGTAAGAAGAACACTGGTTAAGATGCATACAATGATCACAATGTTCTGGTTGGAGTGGGGACCTTTTGTGGCATTTTATTACCTTCTGAAAATGTTCCTATTTTCTGGCAAATCAAGGCACAAAACGTATAAATTATCCATCTTTCTCCTGCTGCATTAATGAATGTTTAACTTTCATTATCTTCAGCATTTTTAGTCCTTGAGGGAGGTGCTGTAATTGTGCAATCAGACATCCAACAGGTGTGTGTGGGAGAAAAGGGGGTAAACTGAACACCAGACTCGAACCTGGAACCTTATTTTTGTGAGGCAACAGTACTTGAAAGTGAAATAAAAAGGCAGAATTTAAAGCCAAGTAAAATCCAGAGCCAGTAGGTGGATTTTACACACTGGACATGATTGGCTTCAGTGATTTCACCAGCAGATGGCAGCATGGGTTCTCCCATCAGCTGCACCATTAAAACCACCTGCAACTATGATGTAGGCCCCCCTTCACCCTCCAACATGGCTCTGATACGTTGAGGACCTCTGCATCTTCTGGTATCTGGCACCGAGCGGTGTCTTTTCCCCTTTTTTTTTGGGGGGGGGGGGGGCTTCATGGATCAGGCTCTTTACAGCACATCCTACAGATGCTCGATTAGATTGAGACTCTACATAATGACATATTTAGCTTTAACTTGCGATGCTGTTTGCTAGTTGTGCATCTTGTGTTGCACTGAACTGGCAAAGCATGATGACAAACCTGGAAATGTTAGATTTATGATTTGAGAGCTGCTCAAAAGCACCATTAGCACCGGTCTCCATGAATCTGACCTAAAGGATACAAATTTGTTGGCCAAATCCTTCAGGGGAAGGGGTGGGGGTCTGTCATGTCTTACGAGATGTGAAATTTGCTCTCAGGTGGAGCTTTAATGAGCTCTGTGTTTGGGCAGCGTTTTCAGACAGCTCATTATTCTCCCCTCCATGTCCCACCAGAGCTACATCTGCAGCCAAATTTGTATTCATGCTCACGTCTTGGCCGTCCTACGGTATGTCCCTCTATGCAATACAACTGTCGGTGAACAAAATCTGTGTTGTATTTGGTTTTCAACACAAAAAAATTTAAATAAGAATCAAAAGCAGACCCTGGGAGTAACTCGGATGCGTGGGTGGTTATTTTTTGCAGTGAGCTATGTGTGAAAGTGAGAAACTAATTCGCGTTTTCCATTTGTTTCATTACCTTTTATGTGGTAAGCTTTGTGGTGCACTTTGTGGTGTCCACCCTGTGCTCAGTATGTGTGTGCCACACTGAGGAGAAAAGTGGATTTTGTGGCCCTTCATTTTCACTGGTTGGCAATAGAAGGCAACCTCTTATTGGCCACTGTGAACAGGAGGAATGATTACAGCAATAAAACCTTTTTCAATGTATGTATGTATGGACCACAAGCTATAAATCACCCTGACCGTTTAAATTATTGCAAAAATATAAATTTGATTATATGACCTCATTATATGGGGTGAGTTTCTCTCCACAACCCGACTGACATCTAAAGCTTCACAGAAAATGGTGCTGAAAACACAGGCATGCAATTTTGTTTGTCTCACATCATTTATCATTTTACAGGACCGTACTGGACGATGCTTTGACAAAAAAGCAGCTATGATGTTCACTGTGATGGATGGCCAGTAAGTTTCTGCAGATTCACTTTGATACTGCAATGAGATGGATAAAAGCTGACAGCTGCCTGGGAGGAGGGGGAAGATGGCAAACATCTGAAACACTGCAGCACTGGTTAGTAACAGTATAAGGCAAACATGGCTTGTAGTAAATAGGCTAAAATGTTTGAAAAATGTCCCGATGACAAAGAAGCCACAGTAAAAGCTGACATGAAGTTTGTCATGTCCCTTGTTTTTTTTTCCCTCCAAGTTCACTTACGGTACAACGAGCTGTCCAGCTGCTCCCGTGCACTCGCTGGTGCTTTTTTTCTATTTATTTTTTTTTATTAATTAATTCCAAGCATGTAATAAAACAGAGAAAAAAAAAATCAACATGTAACACAAAACAACCAAACCAATTACCATATACAACCAAAGGTAGAAATTTCTCTTGATGATCCTTAGTCATTACATGCTTGCAAGGGAGTAGAAAGAAGTAATACTTATCTAGTTCTACCCCTGGTAATCCAAACTATAGTTGACCCAACCCAAGTATTTAACTAAACAACTACACTGGTTAAATTCCCACAACCACAAATCACATTTACATAATTAGAAAACAAATGATAAACAATAAATTATTCATATCCCACCCATAAATACACCGATAATATCTTAAT